GAAATTCTAATAGGCGACATGAATGCAAACTTGGAGCAAACAACACAGGAAGAGAACTTATCATGGGTTGAGAAGCACTCCGTGAAATGAATGAGAATGGAGAATTGTTTGCAGACTTCTGCGCATTTAATGAGTTGATGATTGGAGTCAGTGTGTACAAACACAAGGATATTCACAAAGCGACATGGATCTGATTTCACGAGATGGACACACTAAAAATCAGATCGACTTCATCCCCATCTCAAGAAAGTGGAGATGGAGACGCAGCCTACTGGACACAAGATGAAGAAGGGGAGCAGATGAAGGTTCACATCACTCACTATTCAGTGCAATGAACCCTCCAAACTAGGTTGAAAGCCTTGAAAGAAGTTGGTGATAGACCACAGTTCAAGTTCAAAACCCAGAACAGAAACTGAAGGACAAAACTACAAAGGACATCTTCAAGTCAGCCAGTCATCAAGAAGAAATGGGAGATATTAACCAACATCCCTGAAGAAATCTGTGTGGAAGAACACTAGAATTTCTTGAAAGAGATGTGGAAAGAAACCTGCACAACCCTATTAGGAAGGAAGAGGAAACAAGACATGGAGTGGATGTCGACGGATATATAGAAGCTGATAGAATAGAGGAAGATGGTGAAGCAGAAGATGAACCAGTTCAGTGCAAGGATAAACAATGAAAAGACGAACTGAGTACAACGTATAAAACACTGGATAAAGAAGTAAAGAGGAGTGCACAGAAAGAGAAAAGACACTTCTACGACATATTGGCAAGCGAAGCAGAACAGGCTGCTGGTCGGAGAGACCTGACAACATCATACCAAATAACCAGGTTACTATGCGGGAAGAGATCAACACAGATGAAACCAATAAGGAATGATGAAGAAAATCTAATTACCAAAGATGAGAAACAAAGGAAACAATGGGCTAGCCACTTCAAAAAGCTCTTGAATCGACCACCACCTCCACTTCTTCCAGAAATACTACCTGCGGCCACAGAACTACCAGCTAACACAAGTCCTCCGACAAAAGCAGAAGTCCTGAACGCCATAAGGTTACGGAAATGCGGGAAAGCAGCAGGACCAGATGCAATCCCTTCAGAAGCACTGAAAACAGATGCAGAGAGAACAGCAGAGATGCTCACATCCCTATTGCAGAAGGTTTGCAGGGAAGGAAGAAAGGAAAGGTACCTAGCGACTGGAAGAAGGGCTACCTAGTCAAACTCCCGAGGAAAGGAAACCTAAGTCTTAACAAGAACTGACGTGGAATCATACCGCTGTCCACTCCGAGCAAAATATTGAGCCGCATCATCCTGGAGAGTCTGAAGGATGCGCAGGATTCAAAATTACACACACATACACACACTGAGTTTTCGAGTGGCTATCATGATGTTCCCAAGAGCATCGAAGGATTTCCGTCATGTAGTGAGAGCCAACCTTCTCCTGCAGGATCATGACAGCAAGATTCAACTCAAAAGGAAGGAAAGTCACAATCATACAATGCCAGTGCTACGCACCTACAAATAATACGGATGAAGAGAAGGAGGGATTCTACAGACAACTGCAGTCAGTATTAGACAAGACCCAAGATGGCGACGGGAATATAAAAATTCTAATGGGTGGCATGAATGCCAAACTGGGAGTTTACAACACACGAAGGGAGTTCATCATTGGTCGAGAGGCACTTGCGGAAATGAATGAGAATGGAGAACTATTTGCAGATTTCTGTGCATTCAACGACTTGGTGACTAGAGGCAGTGTGTACAAACACAAAGATTTTCACAAAGCAACATCAATTTCACCAGATGCACACACTAAAAATCAGATCGACTTCATCCCCATCTCAAGAAAGTGGAGACGCAGCTCAACGGACACAAGAACAAGAAGGGGAGCAGATATAGATTCAAATAACTCACTATCTGTTGCAAGGAACTTACTTTCAAAATCAAGTTGAAAGCATTCAAAGAAACTGGTGATAGACCACAGTTCAAGTTCAACACCCAGAACAGAAACTAAAGGATGAAACTACAAAGGACACCTTCACGTCAGTCATCAGGACAAAATGGGAGAAGTTGAATAACCACCCACAAGGAAACTGAGCGGCAGAACACGAGAACTCTTTGAAAGAGACGTGGAAACAAACCTGCATAACTGTGCTAGGAAGAAAGGAGAAAGAAAACAAGACAATGGATCTCGATGAACACATGGAAACTGATAGAGAGCAAGATGGTGAAGCAGAAGATGAACCAGTGCAGGGATAGACAACGAAAATAGGAACCGAATACAACTCGCAAAACACTATACTGGACAAAGAAGTGAAGAAGACTGCGCGGAAAGAGAAAAGACACTTCTACGACATATTGGCAAGCAAAGCAGAACAGGCTGCAGGTAGGAGAGACCCGACAACAATATCTCAAATAACAAGATTACCATCTGGGAAGACATCAATGCAGACGAAACAAATGAAAGATAGTGAAGAAAAGCTAGTTACCAAAGAGAGGAAACAAAGGAAATAATGGACTGACCACTTCAAAATCTCTTGAATCGACCACCACCTGCAACTCATCCAGAAATACCGCCAACAGCCCAGTAACAGAGCTATCAGTCAACACAAGCCCTCCGACAACAGTGGAAGTAAAATTCTTACAGCCATAAAGTTACTGAAAGCCGAGAAGTCAGCAAAACCAGATGGAATTCCTCCAGAAGCACTGAAAACAGACGCAGAGACAACAGCAGACACTCTCACACCACTTCCATTGCAGTAGCTTTGGAAGGAAGGAAAGGTACCTCCTGACTGATTGGAAGAAGAGCTACTTCGTCAAACTCCCAAACAAGGGAGAGCTAAGTTTCTGTAGGACTGGAGAGGAATCATACTCCACCCCTGTACACCCCAAGCAAAATATTAGGCCATATCATCCTGGAGAAACTAAAAGTTACCATGCATTCACAATTACGACCAGAACAGGCTGCATCCAGGGAGTACAAATCATGTGCGGATCAAATTGCAACACTACGCTAAGCATTATCACAGAACAGAGTGTAGAATGACAGTCAACTCTACTTCAACTTCATCAGTTTTGAAAAAGCCTTCGACAGCATCGACCGAGAAGTAATTTGGCAACTGCTTCAACACTTCGGAGTACTACAAACCTTCATCAACCTGATTCAACAGCTATATGCTATATAAGGCTACATGACAAGTGATTCACAATGGAAGACTCAGTGGCGCCTTTGAGATGAAGACAGGAAGGAGCAAGACAAGGTTACCGCCTACCATCACCGATCATCTTCCTGATTAAGGTCGACCGGACTGGACTGAGTCATACAGCAAACCGTCAGGAGCGAGAAGAGGGGCATACGCTGGTTAGACCGATGAAAAGACCCTAGAAGATTTGGATTTCACCACCGATGATGATTTATGTCTAGTGTCTAATGTCGCACAAACTCGAAGATCTATAGGCGAAAACCACCAGGTAGACAGAAGAGGCAGGGCAGCGAAGACAGGACTGGCTTCAGATGAACATAGAGAGGACAGAGGTGATGAAGATACCCAACCAACAACAAGAACAAGCACCAATCACCATAAACAGGAGAAAGCCAAAGGAAGTTGTCTCTCTCACCTGCCTGGACAAGGCAGCATAGTTTCAACTGCAGGCGACGGCACAGATGAGGACGTCAAAGCAACCAGGATCGGAAAAGCAAGACGGGTCTGCATTAACCTGAAATCAGTGTGTAGAGATCTACTGCACTCAGACTAAACCGTGAACAAGTACCGGAGTTTCATCACTAATGTGAAGCCAGTGATTCTATAAGGTTCAGAAACTTGGCACGTTACGAAAAGCATTTCCAACAAACTACAGACATTGATCAACAGCTGCCCCCTACGCTCATTCGATACTGAAAATTAGATGGATGGCTAGAAAGAGTAAGCACCAAGGAACTCTGGCTGGCGACGAAACAAGCAAGAAGCTATCGCCCAACAAATATGCAGAGGAAAGTGGAGATGGATTGGATTGTGCATACACTGAGAAGACCGGTTGGGGACATCACGCGTCAGGCCAGGCCGCAGAGTAGAATCTAAAGGGGAAACGACTAGTTGGTTGTCCAAGGCAGGGGTGACATGCAGGAGATCATGTGAGGAAGAAATGAAAGATTCTGGGCAGTCGTGGCGCCAGGTTGAAAAGACTGCAGAGAAGAGAGTGAAATGGCGAGGTTTTACTGAAGCCCTATGTTCCACTAGGAACCCAAAGAACAAATAATAAATAATAATAAATGTATGGCAATGAATGATGGCCACTAAAGAGGATATGAGAAGGCTTCAAGTGTTTGACCACTACTGCCTTCGTATAATAGGCTGTAGGTCATGGCGTCGCAACGCAGCACGGGAGTCAGGTGTAGAGTTTTAAGGAGCAGAGGAAAGTCAGTCGATAAGGTTGTGAACCTTCACCGACTGAGATGTCTGAGACAAGTGTTAGGCATCCCTAGTCACCGTCTGCCTCGTCGTGCAACGTTAGCTGAATTAGGTTCAGGCCAGAAAAAAGCTAGGGGTGCGCAAACTAAAACACGGCATAAGCGCATGAAGTCTTGAACTGTTGGTCGGAACGATGTAAGTAAATGCAGACTTACCTGTTGGTATCCACGTGACGAGAGAAACCCGTTGTTGGAGACTCTACGTGGTATGGTTTAGAATCGATGTCAGTGGTGCAGTATCCATGAATTATCTCAATCTTGATAGCTATACTGGATTCAACATTTTCCTATCCCCCCTTTTTCTGTCTTACCAATTCTTACTGTTTTTCACCGATTTTTCTCTCTTTCCTCATCCTTCATATCACTGCTTTGTTATTCGGTGTGCTGATATGAGGTGTGGTAATTTCAACCATTACCTAGTAACGCCTAGTCCTATGTTGATATTGATGACGCATATACAGACAGGTTATACCTCCAATACCCATGGATTTCTAAAAAGCATTACCTTGCAACACAAAACGGACTTCAATAATTCATTCTCATTAAGTATTTATTCAAAAATAAAAATTAGCAGTGAACAGGAATTAAAAATGTGAAAAAGATCTATGGATGTTTTTTATAAAAAGATCTCATGAAGCTGTCAAGTTAAGAATATTTTTCGAAAGTAAATGAAGAAGTAATCGAGCTGTGTTTTTAGCATCATCGATTCCTCTATGTGGTCGACCTTCAAAACGCAGTCCGATCAAATGAAGTGCATCTTTCAAGCCACCTCGCCATTTCTGTCCCACTTTGTGGGAGCCAAGCCATTGCTGAAAAAAGAATACGTTTGAGGAACAATATAACTCAGCCATTTCAGCAAAGTCAAGAAGTTAAATTCAAAAAAAAACACCCAGAATTAATTCATGAAGTGTCCACGAAAAATGGTGTTTTAACAACTGCGATGAAATAGTTTTCCGTGAAATCTACATTTGTTTTCACATAATTTAGAAACAATGAAGTATAGAAAGTTTCAATACAATGTGAATGACTGTAATATTATATTAAACAGATGCATATTATTCCTCAAGATAAAATGCCCAAGAATTAAAAATGCCAGTACTATGTGGTCTCAACGTAATCACAGTATTTCGACCGAAAGTGCTGCAAAAATCATATCCAAACTAACTGAATAGCAAGTGACGAAATTCCACACTTTATTCACAACTAAGGCAGTAATGGCTCACTATGATCGAACAGTGATTGTTACAATAACCTGAGCAAACATCAAAAGATCAAACTGCCTTTCAACTGATTGCGTGAGTATTATTATATTTATTATTAGTCCCTTGGGTTCCTAGTGGAACATAGGGCTTCAGTAGCACGCCTCCAGTGACCTCTGTTCTCTGAGATCTTTTGAACCTGGTTCCACGACAGCCCACAAGCTCTCATTTCCTCCTCGCATGACCTCCTCCATGTCACCCTCGGACGTCCAACTCGTCGCTTCCCATGGGGATTCCACTCGAGGGCCTGACGCGTGATGTCCTCAGTCGGCCTTCTCAGTGCATGGCCAATCCATCTCCACTTCTTCCTGCATATTTGTTGCGTGATAGGTTCTTGGTTGGTTCGTTCCCAGAGTTCCTTGTTGCTTATTTTTTCTGGCCATCTGATCTTCAGCAGCGAGCGTAAGCAGTTGTTGATGAATGTCTGTAGTTTATTGGAAATGCCTTTCGTGACGCGCCAAGTCTCTGAGCCATACAAGAGCACTGACTTGACGTTGGTGTTGAAAATCCGTATCTTGTTCCGCATGCTGAGTGCAGAAGATCTCCACACTGGTTTCAGGCTAATGAACGCCTGTCTTGCTTTTCCGATTCTGACTTTGACGTCCTCGTCCGTCCCGCCTGTAGTTGAAACAGTGCTTCCTAGATAAGTGAAGGAGGTTACTTCCTTCAAGTTTCTCCCGTTGACGGTGATTGGAGTTTGTTGTTGTTGTTGATGGTGGTGGTGCGGTATCTTCATCACTTCTGTCTTCTCTATATTCACCTGAAGTCCCGTCTTGGCTGCCTCTTCTGTCAACTTGTTAGTTTTTGCCTGCAGATCTTCAAGTTTATGTGACATTAGGCATAAGTCATCGGCGAAATCCAAGTCTTCTAGGTTCTTTTCCCTCGTCCAGTGTATCCCCCTCTTCTCGCTGCCTACTGTTTGCTGCATGATCCAGTCCACCACAATAAGGAATATCATGGGGGATAGTAGGCAACCTTGTTTCACTCCTGTCTTCACTTCAAAGGCATCACTGAGCTTCCCATTGTGGATTACTTGGCATGTGGCATCTTCATATAGTTGTTGAATGAGGCGGATAAAGGTTTGCGGTACTCCGTAGTATTGAAGCAGTTTCCAAATTACTTCTCGGTCGACGCTGTCAAAGGCCTTCTCAAAGTCGATGAAGTTGAGGTAGAGAGCTGATTGCCATTCTACGCTCTGTTCTATGATGATACGAAGCGTTGCAATTTGGTCAGCACATGATTTGTACTTCCTGAAGCCTGCCTGTTCCGGTCGTAGTTTTGAATCCAGTGCATCCCTTAGCCTCTCCAGGATGATGCGGCTTAATATTTTACTTGGGGTGGACAGGAGAGTGATTCCGCGCCAGTTCTTGCAAGCACTGAGGTCTCCCTTCTTCGGCAGTTTGACAAGGTAACCCTTCTTCCAATCGTCAGGTACCTTCTCTTCCCTCCACACCTTCTGCAATAGTGGTGTGAGCATGTCCGCTGTTGTCTCTGCATCTGTTCTCAGTGCTTCTGGCGGTATTCCATCTGGTCCTGCTGCTTTCCCGCATTTCAGTAGCTTTATGGCGTTCAGGACTTCCATTTTCGTTGGGGGATTTATGTTCACTTGTAATTCAGCGGCTGCAGGTGGTATTTCTGGACGAAGTGCAGGTGGTGGTCGATTCAAGAGCTTCTTGAAGTGGTCGGCCCATCGTTTCCTCTGTTTCTCTTCTTTTGTAATTAAATTTCCTTCTTCATCTTTTATTGGTTTCATCTGTGTTGGTCTCTTCCCTGATAGCAACCTGGTTATTTGATACAATGTCGTCAGGTCTCTCTTACCTGCAGCCTGTTCTGCTTCACTTGCCAGTGTTTCGTAGAAGTGTCTTTTGTCTTTGCGTGCACTCTTCTTCACTTCTTTGTCCAGTGTTTTATACATTGTGCTCAGTTCCTCTTGTCGTTGAGCATCCTTGCACTGGTTTATCTTCTGCTTCACCATCCTCCTCTCCTCTATCAGCTTCCAGGTATCCGTCGAGATCCATTCCTTGTCTTCTTTCTTCTTCCTTCCTAATACTGTTGTGCAGGTTTCTTTCCACATAGCTTTCAAAGACTTCCAGTGTTCTTCCACACAGGTTTCTTCAGGGATGTCCCTCGATGTCTCCCATTTTGTCTTGATGGCTGCCTTGAAGATCTCCTTTGTAGTTTCATCCTTCAGTTTCCGAGTGTTGTACTTGAATTGAGGTCTATCACCAGCTTCCTTGAAGGCTTTTAACTTGATTTCGAAGGTTCCTTGCACTAGATAGTGGTCTGAACCTACATCTGCTCCTCTTCTTGACCTTGTGTTAAGTAGACTGCGTCTCCATTTTCTTGAGATTGAGATAAAGTCGATTTGATTTTTAGTGTGTCCATCTGGTGAAGTCCATGTCGCTTTGTGGATATCCTTGTGCCTGAACACACTGCCTCCAATCACCAAATCGTTGAATGCACAGAATTCTGCAAACAATTCTCCATTCTCATTCATTTCACCTAGCGCCTCTCGACCCATGGTTAGTTCTCTTCCCGTGTTGTCCCCTCCCAGTTTGGCATTCATGTCGCCCATTAGAATTTTGATATCGCCAACTGACGTCTTGTCCAGTGTTGATTGAAGTTGTCTGTAGAATTCCTCCTTTTTCTCTTGCTCTGCATTATTTGTAGGTGCATAACATTGTATGATTGTGACCTTTCTTCCTTTTGAGTTGAATCTTGCTGTCATGATCCTGGAGGAGATTGGTTCCCACTGCATGAGAGCCTTCGATGCTCTTGAGGACATCATGATAGCCACTCCCTCAGTGTGCTCGTGGTTGGCGTCTGGGTGACCGGAGTAGATTATTGATTCTCCAGTTGACAGTTTGGAGAGTCCACTCCCATTCCATCTGCTTTCGCAAATCCCAAGCACTTCGATGTTATACCTTCTCATCTCCTTTGCAATCTGGGCTGCCTTACTGGGTTCAAACATCGTGCGGACATTCCATGTCCCCACGTTTACTTTCGCTTTCATCGAGAGAAGACACATCGGCCAATTGGCTTCCCGAAGGCTTTCACCAACTGGCGTCATTTCGCCTCTCCGATTCCAGCGGGGAATAAGTTTGTTTTCATTTTTTATATTTTGTTTGTGCTTTGAAGTTTCTTTAGCGGTTAGATTTGTTTTACGGGGTAGGGTTGCTAGCCCTATGCCCAACCTTCCCTCTTTACCCGGGCTTAGGACCGGCTAGTAACTAGTAAACTAGTTAACCAGGCGAGGTTGATTGCGTGAGTATACTGAATAATAATGCAAAACAGAATACCAACGAAATAAAATAGTAAAGTACAAACGAAGGATGCTGTTAACATGAAATAAATATATTTCAGGCAGTCTGTAAAGAATAATTGGGTCAGTAGGTAACTAATAAATTCTTGCCAGATGTCAAGATGCTTTTCTGTCCATTATAACAATAATGAACACCTTGCTTCAAAATTATGCAGAAAAATAATGCTCACACAGAACTAAGTAAACTGATTTCAACATTTTCAGTGGTATATACTCCTGACTTATCTATTAGGTATTGTTGACCCATCTCCAGAGCACGAATATTATGTGACGTGACGGATTGCATTTCTACTGAACACTTTACTTTGGAAAAGTTGCATGGCAGAAAATAAAGTTAACTGAATTCCCCTTGTTCATTCATTAAATGAAGAGTTTGAAATAAGAAAAAACAAAGCTGAGCTAACGACGACGTCTGCTTTCATAGAAAAGCTTTCTTATTACTATGCATTTTAAAAAACTTAATGAAATTTCAACGGTTTGTCAACTTATAACATCGACTACCTAGTACGTCTGCTTTGCTGAGACACTGTGTGAATTCTTAAAGGTAAATCGGTTAAAAAAATTTGAAATAAAAAGTGTTGGTACTCATCGAGTATGTGAAATCAACTCACTTGAAATATTGCTTTTAAATCTATGCGACTCAACATATCACCTGGAAGAGGTAACTTTTTCCGTCGACACTCATCCCACAGACAAGTACTTATATCCCAGTCTTAGAAGAAAAGAAATATATATATATATATATATATGAGTGTAATGAGGAGGAATAAGTACTGTTATAATCTACACAAGACATTATACAAAGAAAGTATATTGCAAATGAAATGCAGATCTCGATGAGAGGTCAAATGTAACTCAGCAAATAAAGTATTTATCCCGGTATTTGTATTTTTTAATGAGGGTAAAAAATAAGTTTGTTTCAACTGACGTTTTGCTATTCACTGTTAATAGCTTTATCGAAGTTATAGTAAACCAAAATTTACAACATCCTCCAAGCTTATATATGATTGCTGTAAGTGTTTTTCTGGATTGCCAGAATTGTAGATTAAAGGTGATATCCACATGTAGTGTATGGTATGTGACGAGTGTATAAATTACAGATCGAGATTTGTATGTACATATGCGTTGATAGTTTTTATCGTATGTGTGTTGGTTACGTCAGTATGTGAGGGTGGGTTGAGACCAGATCAAACTACATTTTATTCCCTCATTCCCATTTAGATAATTTTGATTCCACTTTGTGTGGAGAAATTCTGCCGAGACGTTCTTTATAATTTCTAAAGCCTTTCTGAATAATTTCGATATGGTCAAAAAACACCTTGTGATCTAAAATAATTGCTTGTAAAGCTATGGCTTAAGTGTTTTCAAGCTTTTTTTAGCTCCATTGGATTTCTAGGGAGTAGGGTGGAAGCTCTTTGGTGCTCATGTCTGTCTCATGTGAATTGCATCGCAGTCCGAGTATTTTATTTTATAAAAACAATCACGTTGAGAATCCAGCGAGATCTCGTGTTCCAAATGCACTAAGGTCCACTGCAATGTGTTCTGCAGAACACTCTGATATTGCGATGTGTGTTCTGTATGGGATAACTATTTTTGAAGCCCATGATCTAGGAGCAGTTTTACAATCTAAGTTAATGTTATTTTGTATTTCGCGAATGAACTTCACCCGATAATTCTTCATTTTAGGTATCTTGTTCATACCTTTTAATTCCCTAACTCTTTTATTTTCATCCGTTATTAGACTGTGTGCTTTACTTAAAAGACCAGAGGCAGCAGAAAGTCTCATACTAATTGAGTGTGAAGGGTTGAAATCTAAATATTTGGTTGAATGCGTTGCTTTCTTGAAAATGGTTATACCTAATTGTCCATTTTCTTTTCGCTTAACAAGACAATCAAGGAAAGGCATTTCACCATTATAAGTTTCTTTTTGTGAGCTGAACTTGATACTGGGTGATCTAGAGTTTAGCTAATCTAAGATTGTCTGGTATAAATCACGTTTTAAATTTACGAATGTCATGGACATATCTCAGCCAAATTTTTGGCTTTAGTAAGTGGGTGAAGACACTTTCTTCGAATTTACCCAGAAACAGGTTAGCTACTATGGGTGAAACATGTGAACCCCACAGCAACACCGGTAGTTTTCTTACATAGTTTTCCCTTAAATGAGAAGTAAGCATAAATTGTAGGGTCTTGATGATGTCCCTGATATTCAGTGGACATCTTGCTGTTAATGTTGTATCTGAGTCTAAGAAATTAGAAATATCTAGGCTATCACTAGTTGGAATATTAGCATATACAGAATTGATGTCATAGCTTACGATAATTTTATCTTCCTCAACTTTAAGTAAAGAAATTCTGGATTTAAATTCAAATGAGTCCCTTATGATGTATTCTGAGTGCTTTTTTGTAGGGGTTTTATCATTGAAGTCAGATATATTGTCTCTAAATATCTGAATTCGTGAACTCGTAGGTTGGTTGGTAAACGACTCAAACCAAATCATAATAGTATCATAGCGTAAAAGATTGAAAATAGTCTGATTAGGTAATAAAATGCTTTAAGTATTTTATATGAAAATTAAACTTGGGTCAAAGTGCAACAAAATGAAGTGAATTTTAAAGTTAATAATTACAATATAACGTTGATAAAAGTATTTGAATTACAGTCTTCAGAACGACTTCAGTAGTAGTACTGTCAAAAGTGAAACAAAATCCAGTGACCACTAGTAGCTTACCTTTTATAGTGAATATCTAACAGGTTTAAATTAGAAAAATATATGTAGTTCTTTATTAATTTCTGTGATACAACGCAAAGAGAATATTCTGACAGAAAGGTTTGCCGCAAAATTTGTGAATGGTTACAGAAATGCATAGTAGAATCAGTCAAGAGACTGATTATTTGGTGGATAAAGGATACCAGCAAGATCCTAATAAGCCTCTTCATTTTGATTGACCATATCTGCAGGGAGGTAAAACCATGACGTTCGTTTATATGTCGTCTATACAGTATGTGTAATGCTCTCAATAAAAACGAAAAAACAAACTTGAGCATTACTATTGCTCTTCATTTTCAAGAGCTAGATATGCAGTTGAATTCTTTAAGACTATGTGGAAAACAGAAACAATGCAGGGTATGGCATGACTGTGAATAGCAACATAGGGGAAAATTAGCAAGAATAAGAGGATCGAAATAATTGCATATTGTAAGAAACGGCAAGAAAGGAAGGCACAGGATAAAAGACAGAACAGTAAAGGTTGGCAAGCTTTGGTATAAGGTGTGAATGCATCCACGTAAATACAACGGCCTTCGTAGCACGAAGTATGAAATTTTCAGCCATTTGCATTTGTCTCGTTCACTGTAACCCAAGTGCCTAGCTACCTACAAGACTGGTAATCTACCCAATTGTGAACACTGGGACATTACAACTAGTCTTAAAATAAAGAATATGCTTTACTTTGTTTGTGATGCGCGTATTCCTTACTGCATCTTGTATTCACTCAAATTATCAAGGATTTTGTATTCTTTATTATCGTAATTAAGTTATAGACATAGCTCATATACAGCTTATCAATTACAAAGTGGCGAATTCATTAAATCCAGTAGGTTAATCATTACGGATTAGCTTTTTCGTAGAGGAACAACATCCTCTAAAACTGCAGCCACTATACCAAACACTAATTCAGGGTGAAATTGTAAAACATACCTGAACGATAACTAACAAAAATAATTTTCATCTAAAATGATTTTCGATTTTCAAAGGTAAGCTTTGATATTTTAAGCCAACAAAGTTGAGAGGTGAATAAATACAAAAATAGATAATAATTCCAAAAATCTAACTACTCTGGTTAAAATTTCTGTTTCATGCATTCACATATGTAGTTGTCGTAGCAAGTGATTTCAAATCACACAGGTGGTTAGACTAAATCGAGCAGAAAGGCACTAAGGTGGCACTCTCAACATCCTAATCAAACAAACGGATAACAGCGACCGCCTGCTGCAGTTGTGCTCAAACAACCATCCATTTCTGGACAGTACTGGTTTCAAACACAGAAGGATGACATTTTCTGATGAGATGTTTACTGACCTCACCGTTGTACGCACAGATAGACCACACTGCTATCGCTGGAGAGGGTCGGTTGAAGATTGCCGCTACTAGAGCGCGTTCCTAGGCAGTAATCGCGCATATATCTGCGTCTAAATGCAGGCAAGAAAAAGATAGCTACACAGATATTCTGAGCGCCTATTGATGATAAGACCAAGACTACTTTCAACGAGAAATTGACTTGACAGTTGGCGGAACAGGATAAAGTCAAATGCCCTGAAGAAGCTCGGTGCCACCTTCAATGTGCTGTAAAAAAAGCCTGAAAGACAGTAACTGACTTGCACCAGCAGGTTAGAAAGCGTCAGAAGATCTCAACAACCGCTGCATCAATGGGTTAATATGAACGCATTCGTTTAGGCTGCTATCAGAATAGGAAGCAGAATCAACTCAAATATAGACCTACGCAATGACCATAAGCAGTAGTAGTTAACGAAGACTAAAGAGAAAGAAAAGAGAACGGCTATAACTAATAGTTGAGTTATTTAGACCCATCAAGGAAACTGGGGCAAAAAGATCAATGTCTAGCAAAACTAACGGAGAAAAATGTGTTTGATATTTACTAACAGGAAAGAAGAGTGGAATGATTGGTAGGACGCTTCGACTGACTCCTAGTTATTGACTAGTTGCCCGTTATCACACAATAAGTGATAAAGGTTATTGGAAGTTGTAACTTTAATATGTAGCCTCAAGCCTGTTTTTCAGTATGTAATTTAGGTATTTCTTTATTATCATGCTATGATCTCATTAAAACCTAGCTGCTATAAAGTACGAAACCGTTCTACATTTCTCGTGTTCTGCAAAGATCTATCTTACATCGGCTTTCCATTCAGTATTTTCCATTCAGTATTGTGCTCACCAGCGACAGCAATTTCAGGGAGACTCTAAAGTTAAGAGGTATCAAAGTTCACCGCTTGCATCGACTAAACTGAGACAATGCAGGAACCGACGCAATTTCGAACCGCAATAATCACTACAATTTACAGCAAGGTAAAATAAGAAGCTGAATCAATAAAATGAAACTACTGGGAACAAACTACGCTAATGACTTTGAATGACATGTCTTCAGATCAACCTTGCTGGTGCAAATGAACCCACAAATTGTACTGCTAGAGAATTTAAGTGTAAGAGATTCCAGGCTAAACTACCTCCCATCGGTTAACTCTTTTTCTGATTGCCTTAACTACGCACATTTCTTCCTCCTTTCTACACAACGATGAGAGTTGTTGCAAACTGAGTCAACAAACTATTGTATAGTGTTGTAAGGACAATATAGGACATCGCAAGAAAGCGCATTGGTTCACAGTGTTACACTTTAGAAGAACACAGCAAAAATCAAAAAAGGCGAAAAATTATTGAAGTAAACAAAAATACAGGAAGAGAGACAGCAAGCGAATTAAAGTTATTGCATTTTGTGAGCTGTACAGTCTCATCATTAAGCTCTTAATCTGTCTCTAGTTATCAGTACTAACTTCAATATGAAGTGAGCTATCAAGATTTCTTCATCAGTGATTCATCAGCTTTTAATTTGTAGTTTCTTGTCGAAACGTTCGCAGTTCTTTATAAACTCAGTGCAACACTTACCAAACAAAAGCTAATACAAAAACCAACAAGTATGATGTAGAATTAAGAGACTATGTAAGTCAAATCAGTGATTAAATGAGTTAAAATTAATTCGAAAATAGTGTGTTAAGAGTGGTAAGTTCAGATTAATAGAATAAAATCAAAGCCTAATATGGGACTAATAAATCGAAAACTTTATGGATTGTAGACAGCTGAAGAGAACCTGGTGAAACAAAACGACATCATGTTATTCTGCTGGAATTTATTCATGTTATCCACAAGTTCATAAAGATAAATATACGCACGAAAACTAGTTAAGTTATAGATTAGACGGTAATCCAAATAACAGAAAAACTAGTAGCCTAGTTTCACCGTCGTGGAGTACGGACAAGGTGGGGTGCTGTATACCATGATCGTTTTTTGATAGGTATTCGAAATGTTTGCCAGCACCAGCAAGATAATGTTACTCATGTTACTAAAACAATTAGCAACTAAATTGAAACAACGGTTGCTTCACTGCTTTAACTACTGCCCCGTACTGGCTTCACCGACCCTAGAACTTATTCATATTTATGTCAAAAAGAAAGTGGGTACACGAACAAACAAACAAACAAACCGGTCCATGTGACGAAAATGGCTGTCGTTGTTTGTTGACCTTTGAAAGAACATCCTAAGGTCTCTTTGGTTTTCGAAGCCAATGTTCAAATTTCTTCAAAACCACTGCCAGAGTAGGTACATTTTCCAAATCGGACTACAAGAAGTCACGATTTATGAATCACACACATGCCTGTTGAATCCCAGTCAGATTAGAACAAAATGTGCTCAATTCAGGGTTTTCTGTAGGTTTCACAAAACTTTGAAACGAATCAACTAGTGTTCCAGTAACCGAATCTAATACAACAACAGGAAATTCAACTAAGAAACAAAACAAAACATTATTGTGATTTACTGATTTCAGCAGGTTGTTTACTATCATCACCAAAACAAGTAGATTCAAAATCTAAAACAAAAAACCAACGCAAACCTGGTATTTATCCATAAAACTAAAAAGATGAACTACTGTTGGTAAGACTGTTCCGTTTTTCTACAGGTGTATAGAAGTTGTAGAATGCACCGATTCTCCTGAAAGTAAGAGAAAAACATACAAGAAATACAAACTCACTTAGCTTCAGTGATCGTTTTTTCCATCACTCAGAATATACTCCATCAAGCTTTCGTGGTTAAAATTGTCGTTCTGAATTTGTTTTTAAAACAATTTTCGAGGTTCTTCGAACTTATTGAAACTTCTGAAAATTTATATGTGGACGTAATATGGTCGAATAACTATGAAACACTCAATGTTCCCTTTTCTATATTCCCTAAGTGATGGTTCAACAGAACTAGTGAAAAAATAAAGGAGTCACCAGCGAAAGAATCAGAAGAGAGTTATAAAGAAAAACATCGCAGATAATCATTCGTTCCTCCACATTCAATCAACAATAATAAGAAACACCTACTACACCGTGAATAAGTAATTTCAAGTCATCTATATGTTGCTGTGTTGCTTTGTTAGAGCAGTCAAACTAGCATCCGTTTTTATAGTAAGCACTAGTTTGCTGTAGGAAATAATCCCATGATTAGTCTAGTAGTCAATATGATAATTCGTCCACATACTTTAAGTGTAGTGGGGATAAAACCAGTCAAGAAACTATTTTCTTCCACCATCGAACATTTGAATAATCACCGATCTCCAAAAGCATTGTTGCAACTGAAGTATACGACGTGACTTATAGAGTGTATTTAAAACATTCTGCGAAGTCAAACACAATAAGCTGACACTGGATGTCTTGTCTCTGATACTGCTGGATAATGTTTTGACTGAATTTCTGACTACATTCAAGTACTACTTCTACGTAATATCATCCCTTTTGGTAGCACACGGAAACGAAATTTGTGATGTATTTTTTCGTGATTGACAGGAGGTGTATTCACTATAGAAAGGTATAGATACTTGTTCATAACGTTAAGAATACTTTTTTGTACCAACTCCGACTAAGATATGGTATGTATTACTAGAAAGGGAAAAACATTTTTCTCCCGTACCCGTTAATGACATTGCTATGCTTGAAATGCTAACAGAACTGCACACACTAAACAACATTAAATGTCCAAGGGCTGGAAGACAAATGATATGATTATATTATTTTAGAGAAATAAATTCAGTGCAAGTTAAATAAACATTATGACCGACTTTTATTTAGCTACATACTGACTGATTGACTGACAAAATCAACGCACAACCTCGCACAAAGATACATCGGCTCAAGTTGCCATACTTCACAGTAGTATACAAAGAAAAAGTAAATAGAATAAGAGTGAAATTAAAGATAAAGTAGTGAGATGACAATCAATTTGAGGATAAAGCTTCAAATGTCAAGGAATGAATACATACAGCAGAAATTCATTTAATAGATTCCCAAGAAAATTAAGTCCAACTGTCTTGAATTATCCAACTGATGACAAAATAAATGCATACTTATTATAACTGATACCTTTAATGTCTTAGTGTCTAAGCATCACTGCATTCAAAAATCCGTAAAATGGACTTTCTAACCCTATGGAAGAGATATTTAAGCCATTCTGAAAAATGTTTTATGTTTATTACAGGACATTTGCCCACTAGGTTTTCTAAAGTATTAATTTCTTCACAAGCAACCACTGGAGAAGCAAAAGCTTGCGAAATATATACTACGCCAATTTATGACTCATGAGTCCATCATTAAATTTTTATTAACTAAGGAAGACAAGTGACACCCATAACTCAAAGCACCAGTTAACGAACGACGGCAGATAGTGATCACGCTCATTGGCATGGGTACTCTACAGCTCTGGAGAACCACAGCAGGAAAGCAAGAACCTCAGAAGTTTTGGTAACTATGTCGAGCAAAATGAAGTCACAGGCACGCAATCTTTTGGATTCCTTTTTAAAAGACCAACTTTATTAAGGCATAGGTAGAATTCTTAACAAATAAAAGTAAACTGGAGTACTCAATCTTAAAAATCTGCTTTCAATGGGAAATTAATGGCTTTTGCATTGAAAAATTTAGCCGAAGGTCGAAGCTAGATGGCATTAGTGCCGAACGGAGAATCCTTGAATAACAGTGAAACAGAGAAACTGATGAGTAGCCATTTTGACCAGGAGCTCAACACAGTGATGCACCCACCATCAACATCCAGTAATTCAACGAAGTTCTAGAACTACGATACAAAGTAGATGAACGTACAGATTTCATCAAACCAAGTGTTTGTGAAACTTTCAACATGAAGAATAGCGAAATCTCCGGGCTGTGACGACATAAGACCAGTGGTCCTACAGAAATGTGCCGAAATGCTAAGCATACCCATATGTAATCTGTTCACACACTCGTCAGAAGTCAACTCCCCAAAAAATGGAAGCGTGCTATCCCTTCACCAACCTTCAAGGAAGGAGACCGAAATAACCCATGCAATTACGGACTGACAGAGTTACTTCCCATACTACTGAAGGTACTGGAAAGCCTGATTGCAGATGTTGCTTAGGTCTACCTAAACAGAAACGACATCGTTTATCTCTAATATAAGAGTAAAACTTGGGCACTGGTAGACTAATTCCATCTTAGCCGTCCATCCCACCCAACACGGCATCAGAACTGGACGGTCATGTGTCATAAACTCGATGACCGCTTGGAATGACTGAACCACTGGCTGGGACAACAAGCAACCTGTCCACGTTATCTTTCTGGACTCTGCCAAAGCCTTCGATAGTCTCCCACACTACACCATGTTCGCTAAACTTGTAAAAGTGGGTATCACCGAACCACTTATAGTTTACAGTATATCTAGAGGATAGACAATTCTGTACAGAAGTAAATAGAATTCGATCAGCCTGGAAGAGTGCAAGAATAGGAGTTTCTCAAGGAGCGATCCTTGGACCACGCCTATTTTTACTATTCATATATGACCTCACTAAAATCTCCCCGTCTATCTTCCTATTTGAGACACCAAAATATAGAGGGCAGTAGATAGGGAATAAGATCCTAGGATATTCCAAGACGATCCGTTGCAGTTGGAGTCCTGGATAGCTGCGAATGGTTTGAGCTCCAACCTGCAGAAGTGCAACGTAATGTTTCTTTGCACACCGGAAGCCATGAAAACCAGCTAGGCCCTCAACAAGTGCACAATCACAAGGATATTCACAGGGAAAGACCTAGAACTAAACTTCTCTGAAACTGGATGTTAGTCTCACCTGTAAGCGAACGGCAGCAAAAGCGAACATCATCAAGCACTTTCTAAGAAAGTAGCTTGGAGCGTTCAAAAATAATCACCATCAAGATCCCTTGAATTATTCCTCTTGGTATTCAAAACCTGTTGACCATACCTAGAGGTATTTAACACAATAGTCACCCTCTTTTAATAAACAGAGACGTGAGTACTCCCGAGATGGTACAGAGAAGGGTGACCAGGTTGGTTGTCGGACTAACGGGCAAAACATATGCGAAACGCCTTGGACAATTTGTTTACGTTAAGCTATCGAAGGAAAAGAAACGACCCAATAACGGCTTACAAGATTATTCACCAAGTGGACCACCCCAATAGGTCAACATTAGCGGTCCGAAACCGACAGTTTCGTGAAACCCTATTCGCATACCAGACCAGAGGGCAAAAACGAGGATGAGACCTAACTTCTTACATAGTGTGCTTTATGGAGCTCTCTGACGAATGAAGTAGCTACACCTACATCAGTTGACTCTTTCATAAGACTGCTGCATAAGTACGAGCGCAAACGGCTTATCACGAACATTCGTCAGTAGTAACTGAAGGTATGCTCATCCATCTCTGTATTCTCCAATCCTTGTATCTGCAATAAGACTCATCTCTTCTCTATATTATTACCAGTAACACTTATCTTTTGATAAGTACTCTCCACTTCTCTTTTCTCACTCCCCATTCGCCCTATTTTCAGCGCTACTTTTTAGGTAACCCTTCATTCTTACTTACAGGTGCTCTAAAAAACGGAAATTACAAAAGGTTAATTGATCTTATCAGCATCTCCGTCGCTTTCCTAAACAAACCAAGCTACAACTTGCACAAACAATATTTTCAAGTAGTTAATCACTACCTCCAAAGCTATAATTATAGCCTATAGCTTTTCCTGCTTAAGAAGGGAAAACAAAGACTGCGACCACAGAAAGACAGAACGAACAAAAAGAACCGAGCCTAGACCTAGAAGCGAGAGCTCAAAAACAATGAGTTCCCTCTGCTTGGACTTTTGGCGTTAGATAACTCGCGTTATGCTTAATTACATACTCAATGAGCAGGCAATGAGATCATCATTACTTTAGTTAAAAAAGTGTAAGGAACTACTGGCGAGTAAGAAAATACATAAACATTATAAAGAGACGGAATAGGAATCTGTACTAATTCCCAACTAACTGACAACTCGGAAACGGATAGCGGTGATTCAGTGTTGGGAAAGCAGGGACGCACTTATAGGTTAGTAGGCTATTAGTGGATGACAATCTGCTTTCCTATATGAGGTTATTTCTAAGAAAAAGGACTACTGAATATGCATTCTATTCTGCCAGAATTGAGTAACTGCAGTTTCCGTGCGTTTTAAGGTTCTCGAAGAATTTTAGGACTAAAAAGGCTTAAAGCTGGTATTAACTGATTACAACAAGGTAACTAATAAGCACTTTAGAGATTTATAAACCACAGACACTGAATACATCTGTGATTTGAGGAGACAAACTTTGTTTCCTCAGTTAGTTGCGAAGGCCAAAATAATCTCACTCTGAGCTATGAATTAGTTGCAAACACGTCCTTATTTAGTCAGAAGGGAAGTAGCAAACCAAGCTCTATCGGAACATAGAGCACGTTACTCCTCTAATTAGAGGTATTTCAGCAAGCATCAGCAAACTGCTTCGTTTTATGCTTTTCTGGAAGTCATATGCGCTTATCCCAGTATCGAAATTACTAAGCTAAATCAGAGAATTTCTTTGCTTCAGTTATTTGTCACCTGACTTCGGCTTACAAAGCCACACACCATAACAATAACGAGTGCCAGTCGACGGACGTAAATTCCTATTTCGCGCGAGTGAGATAAAGAGTTAATTGTCGTTTTCTGATTGGTCAGTGCGACATAGCCCTTATAAAAGAAAAAGCGGTATTTTCTAACTTGGGAAATATCTAGGCTTCGTTCTTGCGCTGAACAGGAGCGTTTCTGTAATAATCGGCATTTGTAAAGCAACATTAAAATGTCCTTCAGATCG